TAATCAGTCGTGGCCATAATGAAAATAACTTCATTCCTCTTGCTTCAAATGCTTTTGTCTTCAAAGATATCCCATTAAATGCAAATACACCTAGATGATATTAAGCCTTACTGGCTAACATTTTCTGGAAGGGGATTGGTGAATGCCAAACGGAGCACAAAATCCTGTCTCGAATCCATTATAATGAAAGCCAAGAGTGAGAGTGGGCCCTGGAGATGGGGGGAAGCACTAATGGAGGGCAACAAGGATTAATATTAATCACACCATTACTGCATCCAGAAACCAGTATATAAGTGATTCCCCTTCCCTGTTTCCCATAAAGTGGCTTGATCTCACTGAACATCAGGTGAGATGAAAATTTTAATCCAGCATTCTAAGCACGTGTAAACCTGCCTGCAGAAGTAGTTGGATCTTCAGTTTGACATTTATGGAGCTCATTATATGTAGAAAACAGGTTCCCCATGTAATTCTAGTAGGACATATGAGCCCATTAAGGAATTTACACTCCGTTAGGGGAGTTACAATGTAACACTAAGAAGAAGGTAGTTGGTGATTAATAAAGCAAAGAGCCAGGGGCTTTGAAGAAGGAGTCTTGGCAATCAGGCAGCAGAGCAGGAATGGCCTCACGTGATGGGAATATGTCATGGGGAATCTGACTGAAAGTGAAGAGGGAGGGAGGAGGAGGAACTTGTCAATGTTGAGAGGTTTCGGGGAAGAAGGGAGAAAACATGTCCAGACCAGTGGCTATGGTGGGGAGTGGTGGGATGGGAGCTTTGGAGGTCGTGCAGGGCTGAACTGTAAAGGACCAGAGGGGCTAGATGAAGGTTAGTCCAGTAGGCAAGGACAGGCCAGCAAAGAGGTCAGCTCAGGACTTGAGCTTGACTTAAGCAGTGATTTAGGAAGTTTGATCAAGCAGCCTTGTGGAGAATGGATTAGAAAAGAGAAAGATCAAACACAGGGAAACAAGATTTTTGTGCTAACCCAGGAAAGGAAAGAGAACCAAATTCAGGGGTTAACACTGGATGTAGGGAAAAGGCCCACATGCAAGATACGCTGCAGAGGTAGAAATGGCGTGATGTAGCCATCAGTTGAACCAACGGCCAGGAGGGACTGAGAGGTAAAAGAGCTGGAGCACACCATGGGTGACAGGGGAAACAGAAAGTAATCTCCGCGTGATGCCTGAGAAAAGGCTTTCGATTTTACAGCACAGTCCTCGAAGAGAGCAGTTTCAGTCCAATCACCGGCAGAAACTAGTTGCAAAGCATTGAGGGGTGAGTGGGTGGTGAGGAAGTGGGGAAGAGAGTGGAACGCAAAGCTCTGAAGCAGCTGGGTGGAGCGGAGGGGATCCTGGCAGTAGCTGGGGACATTGCTAGGTTAAAATAGAGGGCTTGGGATTGGGGACACTGCAGAACATTTTAGTCATTAAAAAGTGTCCAATAGGTCAGGTGTATGTCTATAATCCTAGCATTCTGGGAGGCCAAGGCAGGAGGATCGCTTGAGCTCAGGAGTTTGAGGT